TTAACATTTCTTATTCAAGTTAAAGTTCAGATCAAAAGCCTGACGAGGGTCCTTCTCAATGACATGACAAGTCTCTTGAACTTGAATTGAGATTATGTTGTTTGTCTTGTCTCAAGGAACAAAACCATACAAAGGTTTTTTGACATGCTACACATGAACGAACAACATAATCTCATTTAAATGCTTCACCTGACGGCTTTCTGCGCTGCCAGATTTGCAGTGTAAGCAGCTCTATCCAATATTCTCACATAAACAATGAAAGAAAAGTGTTATTTAATGACGTAGCTGCCCTAGACCTTCTTTGGTCAGCTCGCTTTCTAATTGGCTGAGCAGATTGGATCACTCTTTACGTTCCTCACACCAAAGGAAAATCTGGCAACATAATCTTTAGAAACATAAAAAATCAGGACTTTTCTTATTGATTGTCATATGGGGGGAATCTTTGGCCTGATTATCCAGATTAAAAGACATTTTGGCAATAAAGCATCAAATTACCTTTACTTCTCACAACATCAGTTAACCACACAGATGTTGTCCGATAAAATGAACCTCAGAGCTTTTACCCCTCTTTTGAACAAATCCCCACAGCTGACATGTTTTCTGTTGAGGTCAGTCTCTTCCCAACATTTTTAGCTTATGGGTAAACCAGAGCAGCCTGGCTCCTCTGTAACTGGTGCGTTTCAGGAAGTGCATCTTAATTGACAGAGAGAGAGGGAGAGAGCGAGAGAGAGAGTGCTCTGAATCGTTCTGGTTTGACAATCTTTCGGATGTCCATCAGAGGCAAATGTTCCTAGCTTTAAATGATTTGCAGCAGAGGCCTAAATGGACTCTTATAGTCTCCCTGAAGAACTACATCTGACAAGAAGACATTCATCACATGGCTAAATGGCTTGTGTATTTCTGCTGCAATGGCTTAACCAACAAATACTTGTGACTGTGTATGCCACCATCAAAAGCAGATTCATGGCTCTGACCGTAAGAGACGACGTAAAAGCTACATTTCTCTGCAAGCTGGAGATCAAAATGCACAAACTGGAACGAAAACACTCATTGAAGAAGGAAAAGTCACCTTTTTCTTTAAACACTTCTATACTCTATTAATAAAGGAGCTGATATTTTTAGAACATGTCCCAGCACAAGAGGAAATGTTTTGACTCAGTGTCTTTTTCTCTCACTTGATGGACAGCTGCGGCGTTAATGCTTTGCTTACCTAGATGTCTCCATTCGAGGAGACGATGACACGTGGCAGAGGGGAGCGGTCTGCGGGCGGGCAGAGAATAATTTGCTCCTCTCATTTCTCCCTCTCTTTCAGTGGCATTCATCACCATTAGCGTTCATTAACATGAGTTAGTGCTCGTTAGGCAGCGGTGTGCCAGCGGGCATCTGTAGCTCCCCAACAGCGTATATATCTATCCACTGTAATAGACAGTGAGTGATTGTGAGAGTGGTGCATGGATGTGGAGGCGAGAAAGGGAAGATGTACAGGGCGATGTGGGGATATGTCAAACTCTTCTCTCTTCAGTTTGCCCCAAATTCATCTCTTGAAAACTAAACACTGTAAGTTAGAGTAAACTGTGAAGACTTTGAGTAACAACCAAGACGAGTGACTTTAGAAGTCATTAGGTTTATGAAGACATAACATTAGTTTGAGTCTTGTTTTGTCAATAAAGAATACATGATTGTCTGATTAAGCCATGATGGTGAGACACTATGAATTCGGTCCAGTAAGGTTGTCAAATAGTTCAATATTTATACTTAGCCCTGGGCGCTAAAATCACAACGATTATTACAACATTATCATTTTTCTCAACATAAATATACCAGATGTCCAATAAAAGTTTGATTTAAACCTGTAATCACACCACCCAAACACTGGGGGGGGGCAGCTAAAAGCATCCTTGAAATTTTTACAGTCACACACAAAAAAAAGAGCAGCCTGCTCTGTAAACTGTGCCAAAGACAAAACGGGCAAAACCACAAATCCTTTCTACCATTTGAAATAATATCACCCGTTAGAACACACCAGAAGAAAGAAATCACCAAATGTCCCAAACAAGTGTTATTGGACCCTCAAGCAAGCAACGGGCCACTATACTCCCCAGCAGCATATGTCTGTTACATAGGTAGACACTTTAATTAAATTGTATGCAAGATATAAAGAAACTGTTGAGAAAACGCAATTCAAAATTTAAACTAGTTGGCAAGTCTTAAATCAAAAACGCTCAGAAAAAAGTCAAAATAAGCACAATTTATTCACACAGCTCAACATGGAATCACAGTGTCAGCAGGTAAATAATATCAAATTGGTTTGCTGAGTGTGGCTAACATTGGCAGTGCTAGTGCTAGGCAGGCGACTGCTTAGACTACATATGACCAGCATTGTGGGCCTGAATTGATATTCTGGTACAGACTAGCTGTGGTGAGGAAATTTACTCTGCTTATCAGCCCATGCTGCTCCTCATCTGCCAAGGTTTCTGTAAATTGGACTGGGACTTAATCCAAATGACAAACAAACAGCGACACAATTTAACTTGGAAACTCACCATTTAATTAATTGTGTATTCATTTTTGGGTTTTGGATCTGCAGGTGGAAAAAAACATAAACTTTGTCACAAATGTGGCAAATAGTATGTATCCCTGTGTGTCACAGCGTCAAGTAAAAGACTATCCGTAAACGAAGAATAATTATAACATATTTTAGAAGTGACTCTGCATCAGAATCCTCCCAGTTGGCTGAGGCTTTAGAACAAAAAACAGAGTTTGAAGAGGTGTGTGTTGAAGCATGAACACAAAGGACCAAGGCTGACGCAGCGCACAAAAATACATAAACACACACACCCACCCTGAGCTGCTGTTCACATCTGGAGCCAGAGAAGCACTTTTTTATTCCTGCTTTAATGATCTCCTGGGGAAAATGGGCGCATCACATTTCCTTGGCAGAGACGAACACTCTCTCCTTCACTTCACAGCCCCTTTGCTGCTCTGAATGTCATTTTTTTTCCTGACGGCCAGTGTCAATTAAAGAGGTTGAAAATAGCCACGTTCCCGTTGCAGGGTATATTTACCACACAGAGGGACACAGCAGGTATGTTGACATAGTGACACCAGCTGGCACGACTTCAGTCCACCTGACAGCAGTGGCAATATGCAGGAGGGAAATAGGGGAGGAAGATGTGTCTGATGTGGGTGATGTTTGTTTTCCTCCAATTATAGGACTGCAAATGCACATTTTTTTTATTATTTAAAGTCGTGCTGAAGTATTCTTATTTAAATGAAATGTTCTCAGGACTTCTCTGGATCTTTTCACACTTCCCTTTTCCACATTTGTTGGTATCCTTTTCACTGAATGTTTGACCTTTTATGTTATTTTTAAATGATACAAATTAAATTAAAGGTAAAGCAGAAAGGTAGGGGGCCCAACCTCATGGATGGTCAATGAATACTCTCCTCAAATTAAACTCTTTGTGATTTCCTTGCCTCCAGTAAAAGAGTTCAAGTATCTCTGGGTCTTGTCCACGAGTGAGCAAGTGGATCGTGAAATAGAAGGCGTTCTAATGGCGTTTTAATGCCGTTGAAGGGCGGGACCGTCATGGTGAAGAAGGAGCTGAGTTAGGAGGCAAGGCATCCCATTAACTAGTCAATACATGTTCCAGCTCTAACCTTTGGTTATGAGCTTTGGGTAGTGACCGCAAGAATGACACTGCGTACACAATTGGCAGAAGGGAGCTTCCTCTTGTGGGTTTCTGGGCTCCACATTTCAGATAGGGTGAGGATCTCAGATATCTGGGGGAGCTCGGAGTAGAGACACAACTCCCTCAACATGCAGCTAAAAATATACTATCAACTCCCAGACAAATGTAGACCATCCTCAACACCTGATTATTTGTGATGCACAAAGCTGAAGTTGGATGTATAGCTGCTGTGACACTACTTCCAAGTTGGAATTCCGGTATTAAACCGGTATTTATTGCATCCGCATTCCGGTATTTCCTGACAATGATCTGAGCTTAACCACGCCCTGTATCTGCCAGGGTACCAGAAACTGAATAACACAGTTTTCATTTGGGATTGAAACTTATTTCTGATACTGCCATTATGGATCTTGGTTTTCAGTTACTGCTCTGTAATAAATGGAGTGAAATAAGCAAGATGAATTCCCCCAAATGGCCAAAACAGCTTAGAGTAAACTACAGGTCTTCACAGAGAAGCCATTTCTTTTCACTTTAATAACCTTAGAGTCGTTCTGGGAATCAAAGGAGCAGATGAGCTAAAGTACTTCAGAAAAATAAGACATTAGCAATCAAGTCTCTTTGATAACCATCTCCATCGTTCCTCAGGGCTTAAAGTGAATACTGACAAACTCATTATGGTTCAAGCTGCTGGCTCGGACTGATTACACTTGATTCCAAGAACTACAGGAGCCAGGACAAGTCAAACTCAACAGCATGGATTTCTCCTCTGAGAGAGACTGGAGGTCTGTCAGATACATACACGGACAGTTAGAGAAGTCCCTCTGATCCACAGAAAGAACATAAAGTCAACTTAAGGCTGACCCTGCTGTCCTTCACTGTATCAGATTCAATCTTCCATACTGCTCCTGTGTGTTCTGCCAGTTTGTTCTCTTTTATTTTTGTCTCCATTTGACAGTGAGAGACGAAACATCAGAGCGCTCTCTGCTTGTTCAACTGTCTGTCACAATGACTGACTTTAAACGAGGGATAATGAAGTCGCCAAAACTGACAGTGAAGAGCCACAAAGCCATAGTCCAGGCATTTATTCATTCACTCAGCCTTTTGAACTATAGTCTCATTGGCTAAAACAAAGTCACTTAAAAGGTAAAAAAAAAAAGAATGATGTGAGGTGTTTGAAATAAAGAAATGACATCTTTTGATTTTGAGTATGAAAGAGAAGCGACAGAGTGAAATGAAGTTAAAACACATCGCTCAGAGCAGATACAACAAACACAAATATTTAATGAGGAGCTAAAAAAAGAAACCTACCTGGATGTTGTCAAAGGATGTTTTGTTGGTGACATCATACAGCAGGAGCAGAGCTAAAAGAGAAAAAAAAAAGAGAAAAGTTTTAATGTAGTCAGAATTCATGACTGCAGATCACCGTTAAATGCTTATGCAGAAAGATTTTCAGCAAATGTTTAATTTGGTCTCATTTATGGATTAAAATATTAAAGTTAATTTTCCTTCTGCTGGGAAACAGATTGATTAATTCCACTTCTCTTTCTCTCTCTGCCTGAAACAGTTATGAATCACAATCAGTGAGTCTCATACAGACCACAGATAATTCTTCAGGTTGTGAATTAACTCCTTAGTGCTCACTGCTATTCGACAGATTTAAGACGAGTTGCCAGAAACTTTAATGAATTAACATAAAATCCTGGGAATCATAAAAATCTGAGGGCTCATGTTCTGAATGCTAAGACAGATGCATCTGGTCCTCTCCTGTTCAGACAGACTTCCCTATAACCCGATTCAGGTTGGGTGAATCACACCCAGTTGTCTGTATATTGGGCGGCTTAAAGCCAATATGGGTGCCCCTGATGCGGCCCGCTAACTTGTCAGCGTTAGGCAAATAGAACAAGCGTTTTGCTAGTGTAAAGAAAGGTTGTGAAAATTAATGACACTTTGATTCCTTTCAATACAGTGTAGAAAAACACCATTTTACAATGTATTTCTGGGTTTCTGCCTTAGGAAATCAGAGAGAGAGATAAATGACATGCAGGAAAGGAGCCACAGGTCGGACGCACCCGGACGCACACTTGGAGGGCTATAGCTTCTGTACATGTGGTGAAATCTAACCGCTAGTCCATCAGCGGCCGGTAATTTTCCATTATTTAAATGATCAGTAGTATCGAAAAAGTATCTTGTGTCAAGTGTTAACTAATAAATCATGGAATGCAAAATGCCTTTTGAATTATTTGGAATTCTAGATGCCTAGAGCTCAAACCTCATGAGAGACAAATTCTGAAAACTAGTTCACTTGCAGCACACCACCTGTCACATCATCTATTTCTTTGACTAGTTGCAACGTCTCTATAAGAAGTCTGCATTCTCTGGTAATTTTATGTTTTAAAGGTGCTTAATCAATGCGGTTTCAGGCTTAATCAAACCTTCAAAATCGTTTTGCAATGCCCCACCCGTGACCATGGTTAAACTGGATCCAAATCAACCCTGAGGAAAAATTTCACTAATTCACTATGGTTTGTTTTTCCCCCTCATTAAAAGAACTGCTGTCATCAAACCTTCTTGAACAGGACTTACATTTCAACAGCAGTAGATGCATCCTGGAACCTGCGGCATGTTGACATTTTGAGGCTTCGTCTTTTATTTACACAAGTTATTTAAGCAGCGTTGAAGTGAGTTAGACACGGAGCCATTAGCAGCTGTTCTTGCTGCATCTCTGCACTATTTGGAAGAAATCTTAATTTATATGAACAGATGAATGAATACTCAAACAGAATAAAAGCCTGAATGTGAATAGACTGCAGCCTCACTGATAACAAGTTCAGAAGACGTCTCATCAGTTCAGTTTTTGTCAGGAACGCTGACTAGTGCCTACATTTCTGATACTGATAAGATCAGGGGTTTCACAACAGCCCTAAGGAAAGTTTGTTTTTCCATAAGCATCAACCCTGTTTTCCTGTTTTTAGACATCAAACTTGATCATCTTTTGTCTCATTTTAAATGCCAATGAAATGTAATTAAATTCAAATAAAAAAAACACACTATACGAGTACACAACTACATGAAGCTACACAGGAAATACTGTACTATACTAAATAAGAATAAAGTCAGATCTCTATCTTTATTTTTACCCAGTTCTCTTCCTTCATTTTCCACAACTGTTCCCACTATTTCTTAAAAATGACAAATACACTCATAATAACTCATGAATAAAAATGACTATTTCAGATCAATACATGAGAGTATAATTCTGTATGTGGTGTGGTCAAGCCTTCAGTTTTGCAGCTGATCAAACATTAGAAAATATGAGTGAAATACACTAACGACAGAGATGCTTCACTCTCTGTCCAGCTGTCTGTCTTCGGAGCGGCTGGGCAGCGCAGGTATGTGAGAGTCAGCGGAGGACTCGGCCGCTTACAGGTGAGCGTGATGCAGACTGACAGCTGTGTAATAAAGCTGTGTTGTGCTAAACTTGTCCTGGAGCGGTTTGTCACTCTTTGTGTAGTCTGTTATCTCTCCCCGGTTGAAATCAGGACACAGAAACCCACAACCTGCCAGAGGCTGTGGTTTAGAGAGTGTGTGGATGCATGCATGCACGCCTGTCTGGGAGCTTGTATTAATCACCTTTTTGGATAGGGTTTTTTGTTCCTGTAAAAGGTCAGCCTCAGTTGTTTATCAGGAAATAAAACGGTCTTGAAATGTGTTACAAAAACAGTTTGTGTGACATAAACAGAACCTTTGTTTTCTGTGAAGCAGTGAAACAACGGATGTAATCAACAATTCTCATTTAACGCAACATTTAGTGGGAAATGGATCAGTGAAATTCAGTAAAGCTTAACTGGTAAAATCAAAAGGAAAATTGACGCAAAGCTGGAAGAACAGTAATGGGAAAAAACTTTATGATATGCAGTCGTCTTCTTTAGATTCACACAAACATTTTCATTTAAATTTCCTGATTGAATCTGCTTCACTGAAAGTTCCTATTTGTTCTTATTCGTAGTTCACTTGGCTCAGCCTAGATTGAATTTCATCTTTCTTGTAATTTCATCTTCAGATTGTGCTTGAATGCTTTTAATTTAATTACACAGTGCATTAAGGAGGCAGAACTTAATAACACAGTTGGTGCATCAATGGTCATTATGGGGAAATTAAGCCTTATTTATAGTTACAGAGAAGCTCCTAGACAAATGGAGAGGAGATTGAGGGGAGAAAAGTCCTCGACTTCAGACGACATTTCTGTCAAAAAAAAAAAGTCATTGCTGCTTCTCCAGCTGTCGCTCAAGGCTAAATAACCTAGCTTAACTTGCTAATCAGTTTATATGTGTGAGTGTGATGAATAGATTTTGATTTGATGTTTGATGTTGTGGCTGACAGTGACATTACTGAAGAGTGAGTCGGTTGGTCTTTACTCCCCCTCCCAGCCCTATCCATGTTTGTACATTGATATTCAAAAGTGTGTTTTTTTTTACCAGGGTAGCTGCACTTCAGCCAAAACATGTGGGGGTTGAAATTACTTTTTAACTTTTCCAGGTCACAACAGAAATGTGTTCACTAATTTGTTTTGCACCTTGAGGTAAAGATAAAGTGTCTTTACCCAAACGTCCCCTGGTGCTCAAGCATTGAAGTGTTACTGCTTTCTGAAACGCCTTTCTAATGACTACTCTCTACAGATGTGAAAAACAAACAAATCAAAGAGCATGTGAAGAGGTAAAAGAATTGCATGGTGGGAGTCTGACTTGAATATAAAATGGATTTGAGCTGAGAGAAATCTATTTGTATGTAGATCACACACAGTATGGTTTAGCAAAGGAGGAAGCATAGAGGAAATATAATCAATCTACTGTCATGTAGTTTCTCAGGAAACTGGAAGACCTTCAGTGAAATTTTTTGCGGACTTTTGTTTGTATCCTCTCAGAGAAAGCCTGTAATTTAATTCAATTCTGTTATGTCCATTTCTTATTTTATTTTTCCTTCCTGTTTTGTTTTATCGCTGTACACACAAATAGACTGAACCAGGATAAGCATGGGGAAGAAAAGGTACTAAGATAAAGTCACTGAATTTTCACACTGAAATGAACTGAAGAATATCTGATGGCAGTCTGCACCTTTTCTCGCACACAGCGGATACACTGCATTTCAACGACATCTAAAATAATCATACCTTCATTTCTTTCTCTCTCTGTCCTCTGTCGGAGCCTCCCCTAACTCACAAAGTCCCTCCACCCTCCCACACTCATTCTCTCTCTGAATTTTCTCCGCCTGCAGCTCTGCTTCAGCCTCCAACATTTACAGCAGTACCAATTAGCTTCATTCATCATATTTCTCCTTGCCTTCATGGAGGAGAGTGTCTGCATGTCAAACAGTGTTGGTGTTAATTACCTTTGAGGTCATAAAAGTGCTGCTGGCAGGCTTCTCCAAACTGCACACTCTCTCTGTGCAATTGGTGGAAACATTGAATTTGTTGCAAGTCATAAGAAAAACACACAACAGACAGCTGACCCCAAACTTTTTTGGGACCCTAGGCAGAATTTGAATTGTGGTCACTGAGGTTAAACAAATTGCATATTCCTTGACTCACGTTATGCTTAAAAACTTAGCCACATCCCGGAGAACAATCCAAAATTTTGATCTCTTTGCTAAACATGTTTTGCACAAGTTTGCATTGTTTTCTCTTGCAGTGATTCTCAACTGAAAATTCTCCCTCATGAAAAACTGCAACCCACATTTCTGATATTTTAAAACCAATGAAATTTATTTAATTAAAAAATGTGCAAGAAAGTGAAGAGAAAAAAAAAATTCCAGGTACACATTTCCGAGCCACTGAAAACATTTGCATGACCCACTTTTGGGTCCCGACCCGCCAGTTGAGAAACCAATGCTCTAGAGGAAATTCTCCTCTCTAATTTAAACTGGCTAAGGTAATAACGATGCTTGGAAAATGTAAACAAAAAGGTTTTTATGCAGTTACCCTGTCGCAGCGCATTTAAAATAATATGAAACTAAGAAAGAGTCAATCTTCAGGCTAATAGTCTGCACACACCATCAGGGATGTGACCTCATCACCTTCTCGCCTGTCTGTTAATCACGATAAGTAAGTTAGGCTAATGTCAGTTAAAAACCCCTCAGAGTGCATGTATTGTGGTTCTTGACAGGAAGTAAGCTTACCAATACCAGTTAGGTCATGTAACCGTTTCAGGCCATTTCCCCATGGGATGTAGATGTTGTTAAACCCATGAGTAATTGTGTTTAATCATCTCAATATGAAGATAACCGTGATTATGATTTTTACCATAATCTAGCAGCTGTACTTTGAAGTGATTGGCCTAATAAATGATTTCATCACATCTCTGCTATTACATTATAGTCTTTTAGAATCAAGTAAATCAATAAAGTATTATTTATCTCATCTTCCTGCTCACTGCTTGGAGGGATGCAGTTCTAATTCTACTTGGTAATTGGCTCATTTATCTTAAATGAAACCTGTGCCAGACAGCAGGTTAGATTTATACAGAATGCAAGGAGAAGCTTTTCCCAATGCTGGCATTACACGGATACTTTGATGTAGAGAGATGAAAAGTGAAGCTTAAATCTTTCAGAGGTCATCAGAGCCTACACTTAAAATCCACTACAACTTGTGTTACATGATCAGTTCACTGTGGGGATATGAGGAAGGACACTTTGTGTGCTTAACTCTGAAAACAAACTCCAGTTTCTCTACAGAGACTGACAGAGTTTACACACAGTATGAAGGTAAGATCAATATGGAGGTGTGTTTTTTTTTTTAACAAGATCCCGACAGCCGGGGAAACATCAGTGACAGAAAGTTTTGTACAGCGCTTCAGCGACTTCAAAAGCCTCGCTGACAGTCTGTCGCCGGAACAGGAGTTTGTTCGGCTTGGGAAAAAGTTGCAGTGAATCACAGCAGGAACCATTTATAGGATTGGTTTCTATGGCTGCTCAAGTGTTAAAGAGATAACTTTTTTTCCTCTGTAGTATCACCATAGGCACCAAAGATGTTAATTTAGCTGGCTGTCAGGCTGTCACAAATCCTACAGGGGTCACCAATAAAGTCTGATCTTTACATTCAGATCCAATTATTTTCTTTCTCTTCCTTTTAACAGACAGGCAGGGAGGTGATGTCGGTGATAAGGTCACATCCCTGGTGGTGTGTGCAGATCCTCTGTGGAACTTGTCTTGTTATACGCTGCATGGTAGTGATGGAAAAGTAATTTCTAATCCTGCTGCCGAGGTGTCTAAGGCTACACCCCAGAGTGTGGTTCTTCAAGAAATATATGCACACAGGCGTCGTGTCTGAAACCGGACCTGCTAGCATTCGTCTGGGGTCTGCATCCTCCATGAGACGCAGACAAATAAATCCATGTTGTGATTATGCAGGCTAGCTGCCAAACCACAACAACAGACACGGATGATTTGTACGTCATTTATGAATGTAGCGCCTCACAAACACAACACAGTCCTGCTTAATTTGTGTAAACTTGAATAGACAGACGCACAACTTTCCTTTGGTTGCACAAGGACACTGTGGGTACCAGAGATTGAAAGACCAAATAAGTCGATGCTTTCTTCATACATACGAGGGGAGGAAATGACAAACTGCAACGCTGTGTGAATATCAAGTACCAGAAAAAAGGATTACATCGTCATGTTTTTTTTTTTTATTGCTCAGGGTTCAGGTTCTGTGGATTCAAATGATTCAATTCCCTAAAAGCATCCCTGCATTGTAGCTGCAAGTCAGAGCTTAGTGAACTCCTACGGCCAATGATGACATCTTGATGAACACAAAGTAGACACACACACATGCAGACTCTTACACACACTGAATGCAGATCATCAAAAAGGCCCTTGAACCCTGAATGTGATGTCCTTCAGTTGCAGCAGGAGAGTTACTAAACCTCAGGGCTTGATAATACAGCACATTATCAGCAAATTATCTTCAACTTCACAGTAGTGCTGCTATGAATTATTATCGATATGAAATTTTTAATTCAGATTACTTGACTAGTCTAAAAGATAAGAAAACACTAAATATCTTGTGCAACCACTGACATGATGAACTGTGGGATCACAGCGTCTGAAGATATAAAATATCAGAACCAGTTTGTCAAGTGTGGCTAACGTTAGCACTAGCACCACCAGCATTACAGGTTAATATCCACATGTCGAGAGGTTATAAGCCAGTTTAATCTGACATAGCCCATTTACAACTACATCTACGTTTTGAAGATCAAAACACTGCCAAACCATGCTGCTCCTACGAGATGTCATCTGGTCCACACAGCAGGTTTAAATCGAGGCAGTAGAGCAGGGAGAGCGGGTCCATTAACCAGAGCTTCAGCTCCGGCTAGTGAAGGATGGCTGCATTACTGCTTAGACACAACATTTAACCAGTGTTGTGCTGAGATGTGCTACCTTGTCACAAGATGCTACCGTAGCACAAAACCGATAGCAGTCTATAGCCCCTCTGAAATAATGCTACCAGAACAAAATAACTTTATATTAGAATATTTATATTACTTTATGTCAGAGCATGGGGAGCAAGTTTTGGTACTCTTATTATTAAAAATGTGAAAGGAAGTATATCTCGATAGACCAATAGCCTCTTTCAAATAATGCCACCTGAGCTGCATGGGAGCACATGGGCAGTCCTATTTGATATAAGTTACGATATAGTGGGCTGACACTTATAAAAATATGAAGTTTTACACGATAGTATTGCTGACTAGTGAGGGTGACACTGTTTTTTTTCCTTTTTTTAGTTACTGAGCACATCCCTATTTCTCTTGTATCAACATTTGTACAGGAGGAGTTTGTATGTTTTTAATTTGGTCTTCAACTGCCCTTAACTGCAAGAGAGCTGCAGGATGCAAACAAGCTACAGAACTCATCCTTTGAAACTGAAACAACCTCAGAGGAACAAACTGATGTAGAGTTGATGGTTGCCCTCTCACGATGAGACCCTGCACCACCCTGCTGCCACAGGTTTAGTTCCAGGGCCCACGCGTTTTACTATCACCAAAATTCATGATGTGGAATCCTGCTTGGACTTGTTTGTTTCACTTGTATAAACATATGCACAGGAAGAGTGTGTATGTTTTTAAATTCATCTTCACCTGCCAGGAAACACTTTACAACATTTTAAAACTGCTCCATCATTAGACCATTTTATTCATACTATCACACCAGCCCTTATTTTATTTCCAGTATACATATTATATTAGCTTGTTTATTAACTCAACAAATCAAATCAACAACATCCTCAAAACTTTGCCCAATTTTGTGTGTGTGTGTGTGTGTGTGTGTGTGTGTGTGTGTGTGTGTGTGTCTCACCATGGGCGTCTCGGTAGTAAGCATGAGTGACGCTGCGGAAGCGCTCCTGTCCAGCTGTGTCCCAGATCTGCAGAGAATATTCAGGAAGTTCATCACAGAGTAGACAAAGAAGCTTCAATCTTTTTAACAAGTCTTCTGTTTGCTCAGGCGTCCTGCAGCAGCTCATTGTGTAACCCGCAAATTAATTCACACCGATGATACTGGATTATTCTGGAATAAGGAAATTAAATGTAGAGGACTTTTGAACAGCCCATTGTCTTATAAATTCATCACAGAGAAAGATCTTTACTCAAACCTGTTTCGTTTATTGGTTCATGAAGCCACGTGGGGGCAGCGCAGCAAGCAGTCACAACACTGATATATTAGCACTACTTTTATGGCGAAGCTCTATGATCCAATAAATAAAGATGTAATAAAGTATTGTTTAACTCCGTCTAATGAATGCACGTTCTACTTTCTATTTGATCTGTCTTGGTATCCAACAACTCTGCAGGGAAATGTCTGGCTCTCTAAGTCCTAAATGCCCTTTTCAGGAACCAGATGCTATTTTTGCGTGGAAATCATTTGAGGCTGTAAATGTAGCGCACAGTTGGTTTATCAAAGTTTTTGAAAGGTTAACAGTTAGGTCATCTAGAATAGAAAGAGTCAACAAAAACAGATTGCTGTTAAGCGCAAAGCTGCTTAAATGATCAGGTGTTAGCTATTAGCGTTCAACATTTTTAAGTTCAGACTTCATCATGATATTGTAAAGTAATCAGTCACAGTTGCTACCATTCACCTTGTTTAACCGCAGAGCATTGAGGCTAATTAAGTTCCTGTTTTTTCCCATCAGGCAGCTCTGTCACTCATCACAATTTGGCTCCAATGAAAACAGCGTTTACTTTCCTCCCTCGAGGGAATGAACCTGTGAAGGTTGACTGCACCGCTCCCTCTTTTTTTTTTTTTTTCCTTTCAGACATATCGCCAAAGATTTTCTGCATTTTTTGGACCCTCTCTCTGAGACATGTCAGCTGTGACGCTGGCTCTGCCTCCTGATGGCCCAGCAGGGAACCGCCCCCCTAGGGACCAAGTGGCAGTAATAATGATTACAAGAAGAAAAAAAAAACTCTCTCTCTTTGAGGGCTACAGGCTTCTCTGCAGATGGACTCTGAGCCAATTAACCCTGAATGAATACATAACAGAGCAAAGGCCCGCTCCACCAGCCTCCGTAAGACCCCTAATTAAGATCATTAGGCACGATTCCACATAATTACTTGCTCTGTTTGACAGAAATATTAAACAAAACAATGCTGAGTAGCTCTTAGTGTGGGTGGTGGTTATCGTAAAAAAAAAAAAAAAAAAAAATGAAACACAAAAGACTGATGAAAAGCATTAGTGGAAAAAAACAAAAAGCCCTCTCAATTAATTTTTCTTAAAAGGAAATGCCATTTCAGGGGCTTCAGTAGCCTAGTGGTTAGTTTGTGCTCCCCATGTATTGAGGCTATTGCCGTCTTAGCGAGAGGCTCAGGTTTGAATCCAACTTGCGGCCCCAGTCTGTCTCTCTCTCTGATTTCCAACTCTGTCCACTCTCCTGTCTCGAGGAGAATAAATCCACAAAAAGCCCAAAAGTAAATCTTAAAACAAAATTCCCATTTCTACATCTTGTGCTGCATGGAACCTATTAGCTAGCTAAAGTAAGTAGCATGCATTGGTTAAGAAAACCCATCGCTAAGGTTGCAGACTCAGTGCAGATCACTCAGACTGAGCTGATATGAGATTGATTTAAATAAGATTTCCTGTTTTAGCTCAGCAGCTGTTTCTGCTCTTTTCCTTTTTGTTACTAGCTGCTCGTGTTGCCTAGCAACATTGACAGCTGCAACTGAACAAGCCAACATAAGTAACTTAATTTAACTTACACTATTTCAAAGATAATTTTATGCATCAAAGGCACTTCATGCGTTTTTTTTTTTTTTTTTTTTACATTAGTGCATGGATCCTTCATTGGCTGGGTTAGGCTGCATTCGTCGTAGCAGTCTTCAAATGCACCCTGCAAAGGATGCAGCCTCTGAAGTGAGACACAGTTTGTATGTTGATCTTGTGTACTACATTTTTTTTTTTTTTTTTTTTTTTTAAACTTACTGGGCTAACTGGGCAGAAACATTACTTGGTCATCCCTGTGTTTCATTGTATATAGTTACACATGTGGTAAGCCTAGATTAGTTGTTGATGTATCATTTTAGTGTGCCTGCCAACTGTATCTGTGCTTAAGCTAAAATTGGATTTCTCTTGCAGACATGAAGGGTTGGAAACAGGATAAAGGGTGGCTATGATGCAATGAAAACAGCTCATAGAAACTCAAATGAGAACAGTTTGATGGTTGTCTTGATTTATTAAAGTTCTTACCTGAAGCTTCACCTTGACTCCATCAATGTTCATGACTTTATTCTGAAATGAAAGCAAGAAACCATGAGTGACAGTGACTTAATTAAAACATGTTTTCCATCTATAAAAAATGTTTTTTTTCTCCTCTCAGAGTGGTCAAACACCTGTCTCTGCAAACAGGCTCTTCCTCTCATCTACTGGCCACACGCTCCTCTCCTCTCTCCTCCATCAATATTGCATGCCTTCACCTCACTTTGCCCCCTTTTGATGAAGCCTCGCCTCTTTCCTCCAGAGGATTAGCCCCCTCTGCTCTTCTCACCTCTCTCCGTCTCTCCATCTTAGCGAGACGTTGCTCTGATCTGCTCTATCACAAGGCAGAGTGAGGCTCAGCTAAATGGACAGGCAGCTTCTCAGGTCAGAGGTTTGCTCTGTCTTAATGGCTTGATGCACAAAAGTTAAACATCGTACTTTCACATTAAAATCAGTCTAAATGACAGCAGGCGTTGGTTCAAGTTAAAAATCACTTGATTCAATGTAAACTAGAGCTGCTCTTGATGGCACTAAATCAGCTGAAAAGACAACATTTTGCACACCTGACCTGTGACAGGTGAGTCAGACAGATAAATCAGCTTCGAGGTGTCGACCTGCCTTATGCCCTCTGCCCTTCAGCTCATTGATCATCACTGCTGTTCCAACATCTTCTGGAACACAACATCTTATTGATCCATGCACACTGTGGAACCAATGGCCCGTATCCACAGCTTCTGCTGTTTGTGGAGGAAGAAGGGGCTGCTACTGTGAAACATTTTAATCTTACCATGCCTAATGAACATGAAAAGAGGATTTATCTGGTTATGAAACAACCTAAAATTAACACGGATTCCTCCATTACCAAAAAGGAAAAACAATTTGGACAATCAGCAACAAGAATTTTACAATACAGTCATTTTTAATGCTTATAACCACAATCACTGAGAAGTGTCAGGTGAAGTGAGTTACATCTCGCTGCAGAAACTGCCTTTGATTACATTTTGCACAGATGAGATTCACTGTGAGAGATACATTTGACTGTTAAGAACAGTAGGATGTGATATTTTATCAGACAACATGACTCATATGGACAGGAGAAGAGCAACAAAGAGAAAAGTGTCACGGCTTTATAACTCCCTTCCTCTGGGTACTTAGGACCAAAATGGTTGGAAACATTCATAAATTATGAAAAGATAGTTGACCAAAACATGAATTGACTGACCATGCGAGGTCTAGAGTAAATGCTTTTGCAATGAAAGGCTGCCCTCAAGAAAATAAAATTCAATAGCAGTTTCTATTTCTCCTGAACATTCACATAAACATCGATTTCAGCACTTGAGTCGCCATTATGTTTGAGCTAGCGGCTGCGCTGTAGAGAAGGAAGAGGTCAAGATGATCATAGCTGACCCACATGTCGGCCTCCTGCGACGCCATTGTGGATTACATCACCTGGTGCCACGGCAACGCTCAAAAGCCTTCCCCCTCCATCCTCTCTCCTCATTTGTTTCTGTGAGCCGTCGCTAACCTTTCTAATTCCCCGATCCCCGAGGAGAAACTCAAGATATCAACCCACAACGAGATGCTGTTAATATGCCAGCAGAACACTTAGAAACAGATATGCTCTTTGTTGATGGGTTCGGTTGATTTACCTCCCTGAGATTCACAAAGGAGGAGTCTCATACATATTCACTGACAGTCGGGCTGGGAACTAGATTGTAAATGTGCTCTGCTAGAAATCACAGTTCTCAAAAGACTTTCTCCCTCTTGTTGTTGTTGTTGTTGTTGTTGTTGTTGTCACTGAAAAAAAAATGCCCCAATGTGCTTGGAGGCTTCATAAATATTTAGTGACCTAGAAAATGAAACTCATGCTGGCACTGTGGTGTTTGGAGGGATTTTGGGTGGTTAGTCAGGCTTTATTGCACTTATAATTATATTGGATTTGTTAAGACTTTAAATCAAACAACAGGATGTAGAAAACACAGATTTAATGAAACCTGAGAGTGAGTACAGAGCAGGATAAGAAGTATCAGAGCAGCTTATATGTCTAAGTCTACTGTGGAGAATTTAAGTATAACAAATTACAGACTGTCAATCACAGCTCCGGCAGCCCAGTCTCCACTTTGCCTTTAAAAACTTTCTCAAGCTTCAATAAGCTTCTGTGTTCATTTAAAATGTACAGAGGGACTGCTTCGGAAGCTTGCATCCATTTTGGGTCAGTTTCAATCCCTGAGCTGCCTCCAAACAGAACAGATCTTCAAATACAAACTCCTCTCCTTTACCACACAGAGCCTGCATGTGTGTCATTTAATGCCTCTCCTCTTTCCCCAAAGGAACACGATGAGTGAGAAGGTAAAGTAAGTCTGAAGAGTACTTCACGGTGATCATAAATTACAAATGCACGAGGAGCCTTCAGAAGGGCTCGTGAAGTGTGAGCCAATAAAACTTTAATGGCAGCGATGTGAGGCAAAGAGCAGCAGCTTAGAGGACACGCAAAGAGCATGTGTGTGAGACAAATTCACATTTCCCCGATGAAAGTAATGGGAAAGAGGGGATATGGCGCCGTATCTGGATGTCTTGTTCCGAGGGTTTGCTGATGCATACGGCTGCCTGGCCTCAACACACACGTCAGAAATCAAATCAATGGGGGAAACAAGCTGAAGAAGTGAGTGCAGGGAGATGCTGAGAGGCAGCGCTCCACTCTGCAGTCAGCCCAACTCCCAGCTGTCAAGCTATCCAAGCCATGCTGACACAGACGTAGAGTACACACACACACACTTACACATGCCATACACACACACACACACACACACACACACACACACACTCGACCCCTTCACCTCCATGCATACAGAAAGGAACTCATTTTATCAACTTGTTCTGAAAGAAGTTTGGTGATGATTATTGCCACAAGATTTCCCTCATTCTTCTTCAATGTATTGGTTGTTATCTAAGAGAAATATTATAGTTTGTTTGAGATATTGCCTTATCTCTGTATTTTATGAGATATTGTATTAGACACAAGGGTAAATGGACTTGAGCTTGTAGCGCTTTTCTAGTCTTCTGACAACTCAAAGCGCTTTTACACCGTAGGTCACATTTACCCATTACACCACAGACACTGATAGCAGAGGTTGCTATGTAGAGAGAACATCAGAAGTAACTAATCACATTCACACACACTCAAACACCGCTGACAAAGCAGTGGAAGCAATTCGGGGTGAGATGTCTTGCCCACGGACACATCGTACAAGGTGGCTGTAGGAGCTGGGGATCGAACACCCATCCTTCCAGGAGAGAGATGACCGACCCAAATTGTAATGTCTTAAAATTACTGCAAAAATCATGAAATCAAATAAATCTTATGTCCTAAAAAAATAATTCTACCTCTGTTAACCATCTACAGTGGACAGATTTATGATGTCATTTAGCCTAAGCATTTATTAAAACTAAGAAAATGCATTTCTGATCGTCTTCAACCTTCCTGATTCCATTCCTTCCCATCTTCCTTTGTTGAATTCAGTTTCTTTTTCTCACAGTCTCTTTTCATGAATTCATTCCTTCAGACATATCTGTCGAAATCACTGTTTGGTGCTATTTTTATTGCACAGACAAAGCCACAGTCTCTGCTGTTGTAATCTTCTGCAAGAACAATGTTGGCTCTATTAGCCTTTTTCTTAAAATATAAACTAAAATATGGTAAGCAGATCAGAAAGAGACAGATAATTTACTCACTTTATGGAATAAATGAGCAGTGGGGTTATGTTTGGGGTCAGCAGAAATATTGCATGCAATGCAAACAATGCCTTTATGAGATAAACAACAAACCAGGCGTCAGGCACAAACATCTTTTTATTGCCCGTCTCTATTGAAGTAATTCAACCTTCTGTTGAGAGGTGTTATGAGAGGACGATAGAGCTGAGGGGAATAAAGGACCAGCAGAATCTTGCAGAGTGAGGTGAGGTGCAAGGTGAGATGACAGAGGGGTTGGTAAGAGTTGGAATGGTAATCATGTGGAGAGTTCATTAAAGTACAATATTCGTAGTGACTATGCCTAAACATGAAGCTACTGAGGGGTTATGTTAAAACATTTTTGAATTCCTAGAAGATCTCAATTAAAACATTTTTTTAAATCAAATTTAAGTTGTTTTGAATCCAGATCATATCATGGCAGACTCTTTGTTATCAGTAAAAATTAGTTGTCCAAAGATTAGATATAACACCATCTGATGAAAATTCTGATATAGAGCCCTAATTGATGTAACTATAGTGAGACGGGATGAAGATTCTTCAAAACCCCTCCTCTAACACCCCTGTTATTTAGGAAGATGATCAGTTATCCTTTTTCATTCTGAATTCTGTCCTCTCTCCTCCTCTCGCGTTGTCAGCATTTTCAAACCACTGGAAGGCCTTCTACAAATACTTTCAATTAAGAAGCTTTGGTATTCTCTTGGAGACTTTTATAGCACCATAAATCTTATTCCACCAGCAGACTCACACATGCCGCACACTAAAAGACACTATGAGACTCTTTCACTGACGAGTTAAACTTGCTGACTTAGCTCATGTGGAAACAATGGCTTCAACCAGTGATGTTTATCTTGATGCTGGTTGGAAAGCCCCAAAAACACAACAAAAACATACAAATTTAACAACTCAACTTTTTTTTTAAAACTATAATTGTAGTGGTTTTTGTTTTATTTTGGAAGGTCACACTATACTATATCATACCATAAAAACTGAATGTTCATTGTTTCAGGGAGGAAAAGGAAGTCTCCTCCCTCATCAGTTCGGCTCTGACAGAAAAAGCAAAGTGCACTTCTCCACAACACTTCTGACTGTTCTGTCGGTGCAACAGCCAAAACATTCCTGTTATTGACTTTTTCACTTGGGTGACCTGGTGAAGCTGAAAACAGAGACTAATTGAAAGCGCAGTGGGCCTTAGGGCCGTTTAACAATGGAGGCTGCACTGCTAAAGAAATGCAGGCTTCCTCGTTCTTTGACACCTAGACTCCCGTGAAGCGACGCGCTGCTGC